TCACCGTGTTGACCAGGATGGTCTCGATCTCTTGACCTCATGATCCACCCGCCTCGGCCTCCCAAAGTGCTGGGATTACAGGCTTGAGCCACCGCGCCCGGCCTCAGTTTTTGTTTTCTAACAGCCATCCTCACAGGTGTGAACTGCCCCTTCCATTTTTAAGTGCTTTCTTCTCTCCTTCAAAATGCAAGTCTCCCGGAAGCATTCAGGGAAGGGCTGCATGCAACGGCGAGCAAGCGTCTGCATTGCTTCCAACCGTTTTTCTTATCCAGTGTGGGGACCAAGGGCTCATCATGAAGTTCTGAAACTCCGCTAACACAATGCATTACACTGGTTTTACTTTTTTCTCAGCTAGGCGGCAGGCACCCTAAAGGCAGACATCGTTTTTTAAAATTACTATTTATGTTCCTCATCAGGGTTCAGTGTGTGGCTTTCCCCACAACAAACACGAACCGACTGAAATGCCAACAGACCCCCAGAGATCAGCGCCGGCAGTCACCTGAGCAGCCGAGTCCATTCACACACCCAGACTCCAGCCCGCCGTGCCCGTGGAAGCCAGGGTCCAACACACGCCTCGTTAGCAGACTCACCAGAGCTTCTTCAGGTTGCACAGTAGATGCTTCAGTCCCACGCACAAGAGTCTGATCCCAAAGTCCCCCAGGGCATTGTCGCTCAGGTCCAACTCCACCAGCTTCTGGCTGCTGCTGAGGACCAAGGAGATGTCGAAGCAGCACTCATGGGAGAGGCCACATCGCCCCAACCTTCGGGCGGAGAACAGAAGGGAAGCATCAGAACACAGGTCATCAGAGAGCTCTGGAGCACAGCACAAGGCGCACTGGAGGTCGCTCCCAGGCTCCCCAGCCCGCTGCAGAGGGAGCACCCAGCCGTGAGCTCCCGGCCGTAAGCAGTGCCCGGGGCACTGCGATCAACCCTTAGACAGGTGAACGGCGCTACTGGTTTGTGAGAGAAACGGGTGGCACACCTGCGCATTCCACCTCCTTACCTCCCGTTCCTCACGCCAGGGCTGTTCTCAGCTCTCTCGTCTTGACCAACATTGTCACCCGTTGTGTCTGATGAGTTAATCCCAACCCTCTGTCTATAGTGAAAGGATAAGCAGCTCTGATTCTTTTTTTCCTTTTTTTGGTGGGGGGGACAGGGTCTCACTTTGTTGCACAGGCTGGAGTGTAGTGGTGAGATCATAGCTCACGGCCACCTCAAACTCCTGGGCTCAAGGAATCCACCTGCCTCTGCCTCCCAAGTAGATCCATATACAGGCATATACTACCATGCTTAGCTAATTTTTCTTTCTTTCTTTCTTTTTCTTTTTTCTTTCTTTCTTTTTCTTTCTTTCTTTCTTTCTTTTTTTTTTTTTTNTAAAAACAAGGTCTCACCAGCTTGCTGAGGCTGGCTTTGAGGTCCTGGGCTCAAATGATCTGCCCGCCCCAGCCTCTCAAAGTGCTGGGATTCCAAGCTTGAGCCACGCACTCTGCTGCAGCTGATACTTGATTTGTTTCACAGTCACACACATGCACACACACACACACACACACACACACACACACACCACTACCACCATCACCATCACCACCACCACCAACAACAAAAACTATGATTTATCACTGTCGGGGGCAAGAACAACACTCCAGCTTCTTTCCAGGGCAATAGTTCACAGGTCCCAGAGCCCGTTAGACCACCTTCCTTTCTGTCCCTATCTTTATACCAACTTCAAGCAAATGGACAAATGGATCTCTCTTTATCTGCAAAACATCTTATTACCCACCCTTCCCTCTTGGTGTCTCACTCTCCAGACACATACAGGGGCAACGGGGAGAGAATTTTTGGGTGAAGCTGGAGAAGTAAGGTTAAGTGCCCCAAAGAGTCTTCCAGGCAAGACGATGTGAAATTTATCAAAAGAGCAAAGATAAAGACAGTGTAATCTGTCTACATGAAGGAATACTGCTCAGCCATAGAAAAGAATGAAGTCACATCTTTGAAGCTACATGGATGGAACTGGAGGCCATTATCTTAAGTGAAACAACTCAGAAACAGATAAACACCACGTTCTCACAAGCGGGAACTAAACAAAGCGTGCACATCCACAGAGAGAAAGTGTTTCAGCCACAGAACAACACAATCAAATTAGAATGTTCTAAATGACCATCTTACTTTTGTGTGGAGAATGGTCTGGTGAGGGGCAAAGGCAGACACAGGGAGGCCAAAGAGCCAACACTCATTCAGTTCATGCTTTTCACCACCGTCGCGTACTAAGACGCCCGTCCAGGCGTCTCATTCGGTGCGTGCTTTTCACCACCGTCACATACTAAGACGCCCTCGGTGCGTGCTTTTCACCACCGTCATGTACTAAGATGCCCGTCCAGGCGCTGTAAAGATGATGGCAAGACAAAGAAACGCAAACCCTAACCTCAGGGAGCTGATGGCCTAGGAGGTCACGGCATGTCCAGGCACGTGATGGCGGTTGCTGGACATGGGCTGGTGGGGTGAGGACAAGGATAAATGGAAAATGGCTTGCACTGAAGGGAAAACTCATAAGACGGGTGATGAGGTGAGTGTGTTGAGGCGGAGAGGGAGGTATGAAAATGTCCTAGAGTGCAGGCTTTCACACTGGCTGTGCAGCTGCTCAGAAGTGCAGATGCCTGCATGCATCTGCAGAGCAGAAAATGGAACAGAGCTGCTGAGATGGCGAAGGCACCTGCATGGGGGGGCATGTGAATCTGATTCGTGGTGTGGGAGAAAGCAAACACATGATTGATGTCACCAGAGATTCCCTGCGACGTTTCAACCCCTGCGAAGCATTCTGAGCAGGCTGGGCAACGTGGTAAGACCCCATCTCTACAAAAAAATACAAAAATTAGCCAGCATGGTGCCACATGCCTGTAGTCCCAGCTACTCGCGGAAGCTGAGGTGGGAGGCTTGCTTGAACCTGGCAGATCGAGGCTGCAGTGAGCTGGGATCACAGCACCACACTCCAGCCTGGGTGACAGAGGGAGATCCTGTCTCAAAAAAAGAAAAAGACAAAGAATTGTCATAGTTTTTAGCTGAGGTTGCCACTGTTGTATGTGGGAAATTCTCCAATTCTCATTTACGAGCATCGCCCATGAGGAAGCAGAAGACACTGAACGCCATGGGCTCTGTGTGGCGCCACCGAGAAATGTCTTTTTCAGCTCCTCCTTCGTTCTTCCCCACACAAAATCGCCCGGACTGGCTTCCCATCCGTTCTACCTTCTCACTTGTTCTGGGCTGAACTGTACCCCTGCAAGAGGATTTATATGTTGAAGCCCTAATCCTCAAAACCTCATCATGTGACTGTTCTTGGAAATGGGGTGTTTAAAGGGTGATGAGGTCAACATTCGCTCATTTGTGCCTGGTGTCCCTCTAAGAAGAGGAGGCCAGGACACTTTCCCCAGAGGGAAGACAATGTCAGCACACAGGGAGCAGGTGGCGTCTGCAAGCCCAGGAGGGCAGCCTCTGAAGACACCAACCCTGCTGACACCTCAGCCTTAGACTTTCAGCCTCACAGCCACAAGAAAATACATTTCTGTTGCTGAAGCCATGCAGTCGGTGGTACTTTGTTACAGCAGTCCTAAGAAAGCACACCACCAATCTAGTCCTGAAGCTCTTTCTCCAGTCTGTTTCTCTCTCTCTCTCTCTCTCTCACACACACACACAACTTGCACACACAACACACACACACAGATGCACACGCACGCACGGGCACTTACCACAATCTCCGAATGTTACAGCCAGGATGCTGGAGCGTTTCACACAACACTCTCATCCCTGGGTCCCCCAGAGAATTGTCACTGAGGTCCAATTCAGTCAGACTCTGGTTGGTACTTAGAACTGAGAAGAGGCCCCGGCAGAAGCTGGAAGTGAGATGGCTGTTCACCAGCCTAGGAATTAGAAGGAAGATGGAGAGAAAAGAAATCAGCCTTGAACAATAAGTAACTGGCGCTAGAGACCAGGGTGCCTGGCACCTGTTCAGAGAAGTGGCTTCCGGGAATTAAGAAATGGGTCACAAAACCAAAAATTATTCCCAAATGAAGAGGGCTGGGTGAGCCTTGGGAAAGCCAGTTCTGCCTGCTTTGGGGTGGACTTTGGCTGACTGGCACCTGCAGCCCTCTCCTCAGTGTCCTCCCTCCCTTATTGGTCTGCTGTCCCAACATGGCCCTGAACGTTCCCTGCTGGGTGTTCAGAGGGCAGTCCTCACTCCCGGCTGCACAATATTATCAGGAGTGCTCGCAAAATCCTCAGGCCAGGCGGGGCGCAGTGGCTCACACTTATAATCCCAGCACTTCAGGAGGCCAAGGCAGGCAGATCACCTGAGGTCAGGAGTTTGAGACCAGCCTGGCCAACATGGCGAAACACTCTCTCTACTAAAAATGCAAAAATTAGCCGGCTTGGGCGCCTGTTACCCAGCTACTCTGGAGGCTGAGACAGGAGAATCACTTGAACCTGGGAGGTGGAGTTTGCAGTGAGCTGAGATCATGCCACTGCTTTCCAGCCTGAGTGGCAGAGTGAGACTCCAGCTAAAAAAAAAAAAAAAAAACCCCAAGGCCAGGCCACATCCATGGAAATAAAGTTAGAATCTCTGAGGTGGAACCAGATCAATTTTTTTAACTTTTTTTTTAGGTATAACCCAAGTTGGAAAACAGCGGCACAATCATAGCTCACTGCAGACTCAAACTCCTGGACTCAAGCAGCCCCTCTGCCTCGGCCTCCCGAGTAGCTGAGGTTATAGGCATGAGTCACTGTGTCCAGCTACGTGGATCTTTTAAAATGTCCAGGTGACTCCAACATGCAGTCACATTTTGCTTTTGTTTTACTGTAGAGAAGTGCTCTCACTTTGCTGCTCAGGCAGGACTTGAATTCCTGGCTTCAAGCAATCCCCCTGTCTTGGCCTCCCAAAAACTTAGGATTACAGGCATGAGCCACTGCACCACATATGCAGTCACCTTTGAGTCACCTGTAGCTCTCATCCAGATGCAAAGTCTCTCTCCCTCAGTATACAACTGGGTCTACAGTTTTGCATTTCTAACAGATGCCCAGGCTTCTGGTTCTCAGAAAGTACTGAGACATACAAAGCAAGCTCCTGCCGTCAGAGGGAGAAGGCAGCTGCCATCTAGATGGACGGGTGCTGAGCCCCCTACCAGGGCTCCAGTCAGAATCTGTCCTCAGAGGTAGGCAGCTGCCATCTACATTTTTTTTTTTTTTTTTTTTTGAGACAAGTCTCACTCTGTCATCAGCCTGGAGCACAGTGGTGTGATCTCAGCTCACTGAAACCTCTGCCTCCCGGGTTCAACAATTCTCCTGCCTCAGCCTCCCAAGTAGCTGGGACTACAGGTGCCCACCATCACGGCCAGCTAATTTTTGTATTTTTAGTAGAGTCGCGGTTTCACCATGTTGGCCTGGCTGGTCTCCATCTCTCGACCTTATGATCCAGCCCCCTCGGCCTCCCTCCAGCAGCTGCCATCTAGAGGGACGGGTGCTAAGCCCCCTATCAGGGCAGCAGTGCAAGTCTTCAAGCCTTCACAGGTGTGTGACCGGACATGGCCTCCCTGCCCCTCCACCTCACTTTTAATGAGTAGGTCTGTCTACTTTTCTCTCTCTTACGCCTCTTCTATGGTCTGAATGTTTGTGTGCCCCAAATCCATATGCTGAAATCCCAACCCTCAACGTGGTGTATTAGGAGCTGGGGCCTTTGAGATGTGATGAAGTTATGAGGGTGGAGCCCTTGCGGTGGGATCACGGTCCTGACAAAAGGGACCCCAGAGAGCTGCCTCGCCCTCCACCTGTGAGGACGCGTGAGAAGGTGCGGTCTGCAGCCCGCCCCTCAGTGCCCCTCCCCTCTCCCCTGTGGGTCTGCCTTCTAGAGGGACGGGTGCTGAGCCTCCTATCCTGCTTCTTCACAGGTGTGTGATGTTGATGAGGTCTCACCAAACATCACATCTGCCAGTGCTCGACCACGGGCCTCCTCTCCGGAACTGTACGGCGAACATTGCTTTTGCCCGTGAGCCAAGCAGTCTACAGCGTTTGGCTATGGCAGCCTGACAGATGGGGACACCTGTCTTCTTCCAGTCACTCGGAACTGTTGGCTGTTGTTGAAACTAAACCCTGCTTTCCCGCGCCTGCCCTCTCTGAATACTCTGTACCCCCAGCTGGGCTGCTCCGGCCTTCTCACTCTGTCACTGCCCATCCTCCAGAAGCTGGCAGAGGGGGACACCCGCACCCACAGCTCAACAGGTTCATCCCCTTGTGCTTTGGGAACTCTGCAAGTTCCTTGTCAAAGCCCATGACATACACGCACACACGCACACGCATATACGCACACGTGTGCATGCACACACACACACGTGCATGCACACGCACATGCACACACACGTGCGCACATGCACACAAGTACACACGCATGCACACGCGCACGCACACACACACATCCGCACCTGTTTCCTGACTGTCCCACAATGGACCTCAAGCCCTGTGAGCGGGACCTGGGTCTGAGCCTCCGCTGCAGCCCCATGGGCACTTGGTCCTTCTGGGCCAAATGAGGACCAGGAAGGTGTCCTGGCCAGGCACAGTCAGGGACAGGGAAAGCTGAAGCTCGCCGCTGCCAGTGGAAGGGCCTAGCCTCCTGCTTGTCTTCATTTTGCCCCATGTAAAGTGTCTTCTCTACGGGTTAAACACACATCACAGGGTGCCCACCTTCCTACAGCCACTGTGGTGGTCCTTCTTAGGAGCCACTGAAAGAGAAACCCAGAAGGGACTCAGAAGTCAGGTGACCCAGCTACTTCACTGCACAGACTCGGCAACTGGCTTCCAACCGCCCAGCAAGTCATGAGCACACCCTAGAGCAGGCGCTTCTGGCGACAGCCCAGGGCGTCTCAGCTTTTCTGCTCTATTTCCCTTGATTTATCTCCGTTGTGTTTTTTCCAAGGAAACAGTCTCTCTCCACTGCCACCTGCACGTGCGTTTTCTCAGACTGCATTCACGACGTTGCTCGTGTCGGTCTTCAATGCCTGAATTCCTTGACTTCCTTCTCCACGCACCCATGTTCCACCATCCCTTAAAGGTGGGTTAAAATTGCGCTTTTCTAAGAAATCTCCCCTAGCCTCCAGTTCTAAGGGCCGTCTGTCCCCTGTGCTCCTGGGACGGAGTCTCTGGCATTGCCCTGCCCCAGAGACACTGACTGACTATGAGGCGCTAGCACTCCAAATAGGTTACAAGCAATTTCTTTTGGCAAGCATTTGTAGGCAATCCTCCACCCTCCCTAATACCTTGTGCTAAACCAGCATTCCCCAAACATTTGTTCCTTATTTTATTGTTTCTTTCCTCACCCCATTTATCCACCTACCACAAGTCAATCTTTGCCCTTGAAGGGTCTGAAATAGGTAGTGGCGGCATCATGACGCAGCTGTGGCAACTGTATTTGGAAGATAGTTGAAAAGACAGAAGGCAAGTGCCAAGAGAAAGCTGGCGAGGAGGCAGAGGGCAGGTTCTGCCACCTGCTGGAGCCGAGTTTCCTTACCCGAGGGAACAGGCAGTGAGAGAGCCTGCGGGCACACTCTGGGCCATATCGAGGTGTCGGCCTTCCTTCTCCTCTTCCTCCTCCTCCTTGGGCATGTTGTGGAGAAACCCCAGGGAAAGTGACTCCACCCGATGACAGTTCTCAATGCAAAAGGAGGAAACCACGTGGTCCATTCTGGTGGAGAGATTGATCTCAATCCTGGGGAAGTAGTCCATGGCCCTCTGCACGAAGGCCTCCTCCTGCATCTCGTACAGACAGTAGAACAATTCCAGCTGGCTGGGCTGGATCTGCAGCTTCTTTGCCTTGGCTTTCACCTCGATCCATTTCAGCAGCTCCAGCCTGATTTGCTGAGAGACCTTGCAACTTAATTTCTTCTCCAAGTAGGATGTCCTCTCCTGGTTTACCAGGCCAAAGAGGAAACGCACAACGAAAATCAAATACCCCTTTTCGAATTTGCCATAGTTTTCCAGAAGGACTGTCACGTCCCGACTGGGAAGCGTCAAGCAGCTCCCTAGAACATTCTTCGTCCTTCCTCCATTTTCCTCTTCCAGCAGGTAGTACATGGCAGCAAAGAACTCCTGGAAGGTCATGTGGATGAAGCTGTAGAACTTCTCGCAGTCCACTTCCTTTTGGAACAGGTTCATCCTCAGGAAAGCAGACACGTCCGCCTTCTGCAGGCCGTGATTCCTGAGGTCGGACTCCTCAAATAGGATTTTCTGGTTCCAGATCCCGTCTGCAGCCAAAGAGCAGAGCCCCCAGAGGTGGGCAGAGAGGGGATGCTCCTGGCTCCCTCCTCGGGGCTGCAGCAGGCTGGAGAGGAAGAAGATGTACACCGCAGTGGTGGTCTTGGATGTCTGGGCCAGGCTCTTGCCACTCTCCATCTGCTGCTTCAGGCCGGTGCACACGATCCAGCAGACCAGGGGAATGAAGCACATGGTGAAGAGGACCTCATTCTCCTGAATCAGACTGAAGGCTGCCCTTGCCTGGGCCTCGTCTGAGAAGTACTTGAAGAAATACTCCTTCCTTTTGGCCTCCGAGAAGCCCAGGATCTCCACATGCCGAGGATGGTCCAGCAAGTGCTGCAGCTTCTCCAGGGCCACCGGCCTCGTGGTGATGAGCAGAGAGGCCTCGGGGAGCAGCTTCTTTCTGATGAGGCTGCTCAGGAGAATGTCTCCCCGCTCGGCCTTCTGCCAGTCGGTGCAGAGTGGCCCGATGTGCTCGTCAAAGGCACCCTGAAGCTCGTCAAAGCCGTCCATGAGGAAGAGGATTCTGGAGGGCTTCCTCACAATCTTGTGGATGGGGGGGTTGGGGTCGGGGCAGCAGCTCATGATCAGGTCCCCCAGGCTCCTCTGCGTCACGAGGCTCAACTCCCGACAGTGGATATAGAACAAATAGTCAAACCTGTCCTGGTAGAGCGTCCCCGACGCCCAGTCCAGCATAATCTTCCTGGCCAGTATGGTTTTCCCAATCCCCGCAGCTCCCTGGAATACCACCGTGTGCACAGGCTCCGAGTGCTCTGCATCGGGCTCAAAGAGCAACTCCATCTTAATGGGACTCACGGGGCTGTCCCCCGTCTTGGTCCTGCCGATGGTCAGAAGCTCCTGCTCCCTCTCCTGCTGGCTCCGGTGCTCCTTGATGAGGCGCAGTGGTGTGTAGCGTTTGTTGAGGCTCACACTCTCACCCAGACGGGCGTTCCTGTCTTCAATGCACTGGAATCTGCTTCTCATGTGTCTTCTGTACTTCTTACCATAATCTACGGCAAAGACAGGAAGTTAGGGGGAAAAGCCCACCCGCGTCCACCAGAGATGCGCCCTAAACAGGGGCTGGTAATCTCAAATGAGTGGTAACTGGAACGGAGAAATGGCAGCTGCAGCTTCTCCCACTGCTTGAGCAGGAAAATTGTCGAGAATCTCTGCTGCCAAGCTTTTCATACACACAGCCGGGCAGAAGGCCAGCGCTGCCCGAAGAGCCTTTTTACCAATCTTACTCCTTTAAGTCATCTGCACCCCACGCCTTTTCAAACTTGGAACACCTCATCACCCGCTGGCTCTGGGATGACATGAATCTGTCTCTTCAATGGAGGAACCTATAGTATGGCCAAGTTACCCAACTACTCAGCTCCGCAGAGCCTCCTGAGCCAGGTCTGAAAACTCAATTCGCAGCACCAGCTCAATTGCTTACCTTTCTTCTTTTTACAAACAGAGATTCTGGAAAGGTACCCCAGCAAACCCATCCACTCCTCTTCAATGCTGTCTTCCTGGCATATCACAGTGTGATTAGAAACACATGCGTTATCTGAACATAAAAGGAAAAAAAAGTGTCAAAGCCCAGGACTGTTATCACAGAGGATGCAATAGAAACCTGGCCTAATACTTGGCGTGGGAGAAGAGACCCCAAACCCAAACATGGCTCTGAGTTGCAGAGGACGGGTGTGCAGTCAAAAGTCTAGTTGGGAGCATTTCCACACTCCTCATTTCTGTTGTCCACCTGCCAAGCCTGTGTCCCCAGTGTCCCCTGTCTCGGAATCTCTTCCTCAGGCCCGGAAATTCATCAGCAAACGTGTGAAGCAGGTTAACGTTCTCTTACCCCTATGTGCTTCTGGCTGTCCCTGGCAGCCTGGCTGTGGGGGCGTCTCCAAGCTCTCCAATATCCCCAAGGCGGCCATGGGCTAAAAAGGGTCACCCTTCCCTGATCCCAGTTGCCTGCAGTCCACGTCACCCACGTCTTCTGTTTTCAAGACCAGATGTATAGGTCTTCAAGACTGAGAATGACCAGTCTGTTTGATGCCTGATTTGGTGGTTGGGAACCCTAGCTGACTTTCAAATCACCTGGGAAGCTTTAAAAACACAGACTCCAGGACTCTGCGCCCAGATGTTCTCTTTCATTCCCTCTGAGGTGAGGCCCAGCAACCATTACATACTAAAACCTCCCAGGAGGTTCCAGCGTGCATCCATATTGAGAATCACAAATCCAAACAGTCACTAGAAAACACATCCTAAAAAGACGTTCTATAGGAGAAATTCAGGTTTGGTAAAACAAGAGTTAGTCATTAGGGGAAATATATGAGACAGAAAACTTTAAGTGGGCAGCAAACTATGAGCAACATAAATGTTTTTTTTTGAGACAGGGTCTCACTCTACTGCCCAGGCTGGAGTGCAGTGACACAATCACGATTCACTGCAGCCTCGGCCTCCTGGGCTCAAGTGATCTTCTCACCTCAGCCTCCAGAATAGCTGGGACTGCTGACACATGCCACCACATGCAACTAATTTTTGCATTTTTTGTAAAGATAGGTTCTCTCTATGGGCTTAAGCAATCCTCCCACCTTGGCCTCCCAAAGTGCTGGGATTATAGGCATAAGCCACCCACACCCAGGCCATAAAAGACCCCTGACAGCTGTCTACTGATTCTGAAAGTAAAGAAAGGTGTTGGTAACCATATCACAAAGCAAAATCCAAACAATCTAAGCCAAAACCAAAAACTTATTCTTTTTTTTTTTTTTTTTTGAGTTGGAGTCTCACTCTGCTGCCCAGGCTGGAGTGCAGTGGCACAATCTTGGCTCCCCACAACCTCTGCCATCAAGCAATTCTCCTGCCTCAGCCTCCCAAGTAGCTGGGATTACAGGTGTGTGCCACCATGCTCAGCTAATTTTTTGTAGCCTTAGTAGAGGTGGGGTTTCGCCATCTTGGCCAGGCTGGTCTTGAACTCCTGACCTCGTGATCCACTGTCTCAGCCTCCCAAAGTGCTAGGATTGCAGTCATGAGCCACCATGCCCGGCTATTCAGTCTTTTTTAAAGGAAGGGAATTTGACACATGCTACAACATAGATGAACCCTGAGGACGTTATATTGAGTGAAATAGATTAGCCATAAAGGAAAAATACTGCATGATTCCACTTATAGGAGGTACCCAGAGTAATAAGACTCAGAGATAGAAAATAAAAAGGTGTTACAGGGCTGGGAGGAGGAGGTGCTGGAGAGCTAATGGGTGAGGAGTTTCAGTTCTGCAAGGTGGAGAAAGTTCTGGAGACTGGCTGCAGGATGTGAGTGTGCCTGACGCTACTGAACTGTTTGAAAATTATTAAGATGGAAAATTTTACGTTATATGCACTTTGCCACAATTTTTTTTAAAGTCTTCCTTCGACTCACCCCATTTGGGCTCATCTCTTTTTGCCTTCTCATAAAGGTCTCTCCTGTTGATCGCAGCGAAGATCCACACGGCCATGGCCCACGCCTTCTCCTCCCCATTGAAGTCAATCATCAGCGTGGCTAGATCCACATGGTCCGCCTTCTCCGTCTGACCCCTCGGGAGTGGGATGCAGCCCTTTTGAGGAGGATAGTCTTCTAGATGCATCTTAAATTTCTTGAAGTCGACATCCTCTAGGTCCTCCAGGTACCTGGCCAGCTTGCAGCGAGTGCTTGCCATCTTCATCTGCAGCCGTTTTCAGGGTCCGTACGTCCACACTAAGACACCAGGCAGTGAACACAGCATACGGATGAGTCTCTTTTAAAGTCTCCACTTTGAGAGAACTAAATTATCCAAAACTTAGCAAAACTGAAAAGAAAAAAATGTCACAGGACTGTAACAAGTCATCATCTTTAATTTTGAAAAGTTAGCCAAGGCCAGGAGTGGTGGCTTATGCCTGAAATCCCAGCATTTTGGGAGGTCAAGGCAGGCAGATCACCAGAGGTCAGGAGTTCAAGACCAGCCTGGCCAACATGGCAAAGCCCCATCTCTACTAAAAATACAAAACTTAGCTGGGTGTGGTGGTGGGCGTCTTGCCAGCTACTCGGGAGGCTGAGGCAGGAGAATTGCTTGAACCTGGGAGGTGAAGGTTGCAGTGAGCCAAGATTGTGCCACTGCACTCCAGCCTGGGTGACAGAGCAAGACTCCATCAAAAAAAAAGAAAAGAAAAGTTAGCCAGATGCTTACCAGAAAGTTCTTCTGTTGGCTCGATCCAGGAGTCTGTCCTGAGCCATGGAAGAAGGGTATCCCTAAGGAGGGAAAGACGTGTAAACAAATCCATAAACAGGGCGGTATTACAGTTTAGAGTGAAACCACTGCATGACGCCACCTTGACACATCGCCAAGAAAACTTTGGTCCCATTGATTTCGGGGCTCTGACACTGGACAAACTTCACTATTCCTCAGCTTCAGTTTCCTCATCTATCAAATGAGAAAGCAGAAGAGAATGTTTTCAGTTCCTCCACATGGAAGGCTCTGGCTCTTTGCTTCTGTTTCGATTGAGGGAAGATGGATGAGAGAGAAGAGAAGGAGGCCAGGAGAGCAGGAAACGTGTTGATAGCAGAGCAGGACACGGCTTGGGAGGAGGAGAGGACGTCAAAACCCGCAGAGGATGGGACAGGCTTTGACCACGCCTCTATCAATCAATGGATTGAAGTGAGATGAAACTGGGAGTGTGTGATGGAGCAAAATTAAAATGCACGTCCCTTTAATGTCTCCTTGCAAAATTAAGAATTGTAATCATTATAATTCACATTAATTTAGAGCTTTCCACAGGCTAGGCGCTGACGGATGGCTTTTCCCATCTAACCTGCACAAAGCTCTATGAGGTGCACATATATTCCTAGCCCCATTTTATAGACACATACACTGAGTCTTAGCGAGACTAAGAAACCTGCCCAGGGCTTTGGAGCCAGGATTTTGACCAGATGTATGAGACCATGTCTTCCACTCACTCCGTCACTTAACTAGTTGTTTCAGTCAAACAAAAACAAAGACAACAAAACGGATGACTAAAAGACATACTTCCCCAGCGTTTATCACAAGTATTTCTCTCAGTGTTCACCAACATAGTTTTCTTAACTAGACTTAGAGTTCCACAAAAGACTAGCAGTCCCCTGCCGTATCTTTAGATTGCCCATATCTCCTAGACTCTGGATGACAAACAAGGTGTCTTTGTTTGGAATCGTTCCCTCCTTGATCCCTTGATTAGGCTGTATTTGGCAAAGCACATCAACCCAAAGCCATAAATAACACTCAAGGGAGGGAGAGAACCTAGAAAATGGGGTAGCTCTCTGAATTGGAATAGATGTGACTGCAGCTCAATGTCAAGACACCTCACAAGCACTCATCTCTCCCGTCCATCTCCATTCTCACCCGTCTGCTCCTCGCCTCCTGAGCCCTGCAGGCCCAGCCCTGTGCATCCTGAGGCGACTGCTCTCCAGACAGCCCGACTGGCTCTGCATACCCTCCCAGTGACAGCCCCATCAGTCCTTCCATCCACATCAGGATTCGGCCTTTCTTCTGTGCTCTTTCAACACTAACACCAGCACAATCATCTGCTCTGAGCTTTACCTCTGCTGCCCTTCAGGTTTTAAGGAGGTTCATTTCCTCCCGTGTACCCCATCCATCTCCTCCCCTGGGAGGGGTCTGGGCAAATGTGCTGAAGTCATGGTGTAACCTGCGGTTGCTGCCTCTGTCCTCCCCCTTCCCACGCCACATACACACACATGCACTTGCACCCATAGAGCCCAAGTAATGATAAACTTAAAGAACATTCCAGAAATGTTGTTGAAGCACAAACTTGGAGGCTAGCAGAAGAAATTACTAGCCCACTAACCAAGACAAGCCCTGCCCTTTCAACACAACCTCCCCACTGCTCCCCACTGCCCACCCTGCCCCACAGAGCTGCACTTACCCAAACGCCAGCCTCAGGAACAGCAGAGAGGAAATGCAATGAATTTATAGCAGTCACAGCCCCGGAAAGGGCAGGAAGGATGTGGTCTCCACTTGCATCATTGCAGAGGCACAGAGACTAATGGTTACTCACGTAGCTGGATTTTCCAAGTGGAATCAGCAGCATTGTCAAAACCGTGTCTGAGTTCCATAGTTGGGTTCACCTTGCTCTCTTCTGAGGCGCCCCATAGGAGCAAAGCGGGAGGCCAGTATCAGATGGGGTTGGGGGTAAAACTGGCAGTGCTAACTGGATATTGCCTCAGACATCCACCACAACTGCCCCACAGACAGGGAGGGAAGTGAAAGAAACTAAGGACATGCCGTGCTAGTGAAGGAAGAATCCAGGGTATGCCGGGCACAGGGGCCACGCCTGTAATCCCAGCACTTTGGGAGGCCAAGGTGGGCAGATCACGAGGTCAGAAGTTCAAGACCAACCTGGCCAACATAGTGAAACCCCGTCTCTACTAAAAATACAAAAATTAGCCAGGCATGGTGGCATGCGCCTGTAATCCCAGCTACTCGGGAGGCTGAAGCAGGAGAATCGCTTCAATCGGGGCGGGGGGGAGGTTGCAGTGAGCCGAGGTTGCACCATTGCACTCCAGCCTGGGTGGCAGAGCGAGACTCTATCTCAAAAAAAAAAAAAAAAAAAGAATCCTGAGTGTGACCAGCCTTCAGTTCCCAGAGCCCATGCCCTTTCCTGTCACAGCAAGGTGGCTGGAAGGCAGTACAGGTTCCCTCTGTTACGTTCTATTTTTAAAGCACACATTTGACTCCTGACTCATTCACTCACCTGTTCCACTGACATTTATGGAGAGGCTGGTACATGCCAGGCACACACACGAAGCCTCACCTTGAGTGACTTGAAGAGAGACACACACAGACCTAGCCTGCAGCTCCAGGAGATGGCCGCAGGATCCCAGCCTGGCAAAGGCACATGTTCAACAGAGCTTGGTCGGGGAGAGGCACTTGCTAGCCTCTGGGTGAGTGATGAGAAAGAGCGCCCAGTTCAGTGGAGGGGTGTCAGCAACTGACCGGGTCTCTCTGTGCCTCATATCTGTAAAATGGTGGCAATCATCGCCTGCTGCTTCTTTAGATCTCCCATACCTCCTAGACTCAGGATGGAGGCACAACTGGCTTGGTTTGGAATTGCTCCTCCTTGAGCCCTTCCTTATACTGCACTTGACAAAGCACTACATCAACCCAAGTAATGGTACCTATCATAGAAGACTGTCAGAAAACACTGAGTAAGTGGCTAAATGTAGGACTTTAAAACAGAGCCTGGCACAGAGAAGCTAGAATAAGCATTGGTTCCTGGTACCACCAAGCTTCCACAGAACCTCATAGAGAACGCTCTGCAAGATGAGAGAGGCGTCTATACTCCTGCTTAGGGGCATGACAGCAGACCTGAGTCTCCAGAAACCAGGTGAAAGGTGTCATTCGGGGCTGGGGCAGGAGCAGCAAAAACTTCAGATGCTGAAGCTAGAGAGACAGCAGACCAAACATGCTCCAAAAAATAGGTGCATGTGAAGAACATGTTCATTGAATGAACTGGGGATTTTTCTGCATAATTAATATGCAGTAAAAATCCATGCCTTTATAAAAACAGACACATAGAACAATGGAAGAGAAATAAACTCAAGCATATGCAGTCAACTAATTCTTTGGCAAGGTCACCAAGAAGACACAATGGAGAAAGGGCAATCTCTTCAATAAAGGTGTTGGCTATAGAGGTGTGAAAGAAAGAAAAAAAAAAAAACAGGAAAAAATCAAGAAAAACATAAGATTAAAAAAATAGCCGGGCGCGGTGGCTCAAGCCTGTAATCCCAGCACTGTGGGAGGCGGAGGCGGGTGGATCAC